TTATATTTTTCATTTAACCCTTGATTGAAATATATATTTTAATTAAAATAACAAAAACGTTTCCATAAAATTTCTGTTTTACAAATTTCTAAGTAGCAAAAAGCACTAAAAAAACAAAAAATGTTTGTTCCCAGTAAATACAACAACAAGTGGTATAAACCTGTAAGCTCTTTTTAAAGTGCAATTAACACCTTTGTAGCAGCACCACTGATAGCAGCAGTCATGGTAAAAACAACAACAACAACAACGACGACGACGACGACTACGATAACGCCACCAGTAACACAGCAAATGTAAGCAAATAAAAGTTAAAAACCTGCAGCGAAAACGTTTGCCATCGCACAAGCACGTTAACACTACAAAAACAAAAAAAACACAGCAGCAACAACAACAACAAGAAGAACAAGAGAAGCAACACAAGTGAAATAAAAAATAAAATAAATTTTAAAAGCCAAAAAGTCTTTTTCGCGCTTTTACGCACCCATCATTCAAAAGTAAATAAACACCGAACATTCTCACCCTTTACACTGCCATAAAACGCAGTCATCCTGCAAATGTTTTAAGCATGCAGGCTCATGTGTGTGTGGTTGACACACATTCAAACTCGAATACTCGTATTTTTATGCTCGAGTGTGTGCTCATGTTGTGTAGCTCAAAAGTGAAATTCTTTTTTTTTTTTTGTGTTTTCAAAAATATATTTTCAAAAAATGAAGAGAATACATATGTTGTACAAAAATTGTAAGGCAGCAAACAGACAAACAGACAAATAGACAGACAAACAGACAGACAGACAGAAATACAAACAGCACAGAGAAGAGAAACACACGTATTTCCGCTTCCGCTGCAACAGTTCGTAAAATTCTTTAACTTTTTTGTATGTATGTAGTGGTGGTGGTGGCGGTGGTATGTGTGTGCTAATAAAATTGCTCAGCATTTGTACTGTAGCACCACAGCATGCGTTTGTGTATAACGGGCGCACACACAAACACACAAACAGATTCCATCACTGGCAATAGCAGAAACGGAGTCAGGCATTAAAAAAATATTCGCGCCATTTTGAACGCATACAGGATACTTGGCTGTCGGTTTTACCGGAAATACTTGCTCAAACTTCGTTTATGTTTGTACTTTGTATGCTGTGGAATAAAAGAAATTTTTTGTTGCTATAAATAAATGGTGCAGAAAATTACAATAAAATTTTATTTCTGTTTGGCGGTAAAATAGCCAAAAAGCTCACAAAGCCAAGCAAATATATCTGTTTTTTGCTTTGGCAGCACTATCACATAAAAGTAGTTGATTTTACGTTAAGGTTTTGCTTTATTGAAAAATGGTTTTTATTCTTTGATAAATGTTATAAATTCATTATACTATACGTTATGTTTGTTAATTTGTAAATAATTAAGATTGAAATATGATTTATATTGTGATCACACAGCCAAATTTCCTTAATTTCATTCAAATGAAATTAAGTTAATTTCGAAGTGTTCATACTGCCCCAAATTAAGAAAAACATATGTTTTTTTTTATAAATCGCATGCTTAAAATTACAAATAGCAATTAAAAATCCAAACACCATTTGTATTTGAGAAATTTTAAAAGTTGATTTTTTTAAATATATGAAATAAGGTAGTTTTATTAGCTTTCAGGTATGTGGATTATTATTTTTCACTCTATTTTAAATTAATAACGGTTGAAATTTTTTCTCTATATTCAAATTTAAAAATTTGCACTACATTCAAATTATTTTCCCGGTTTTATCAAAGTCAACTGTGATTGACATTTATTTCAAAATAATTTAACTTTTCGTTATCTCAACTCATTATCGTTATCTCAACAATCTTTTGCCTAAAATGTATCTGATGCATAATGGCATTTCAAATTTCCCTTAATTTAAGCGTTCGTTTAAACGAAATTAATACTATATTGAGACATGCCAAATTTCTTTAATTTCGTTAAAATAAAATTAACTTAATTTGAAAAGGGTTCATACTGCTCTATGTTAAATTACCGGAATCATATGTTTTTTTGTTTACAAATCGAATGATAAAAATTATATGCTCAAAACACCATTTGTATCTGGGAAATATTAAAAGTCAATTGTTATAACTATAAAGGTTGGCATTCAGTGGTTTTATTAGCATTAGTGGATTTCAGGTGTGTGAATTACTATTTTTCACTCTATTTTAAATTAATAACAGTTACAGTTTTGCTCTATGTTGAAATTTAAAATTTTGCCCTACTTTCAAAATATTATCCCGGTTTTATCAAAGTCAGCTGTTTTAAAAAATCAATGTCACTTTTTCGTTATCTAAACTTATCTTTTGCTTAAAATTTATCTTTCACATAGTTGCATTTTTGACATTTCCCTTAATTTCAGCTTTCGTTTTCCTTTTTCTTAATTTCTTACCTCAAAACTGAATTTTGTATGGATAAAGCTATTTAATTTCGCTCAAACGAAGATGAAATTAAGATTTTTGCGAAATTAAGGTGTGTATGAACATAGTATTAAAAATAAATATACTGTTATATTATCTATTTGGAACTGCTGAAATGTTAATTTTATCACAATATTAAATTGTTAATATACATATATAATAATTATTGCTTCATATCACACTTAAGTAATTTTAGAGTAAGTTTTAACTAAGTTTGGTGTATAAATTCTTGCTGCTTTGCAGCACTATAATCAAATATTCAATTATATTAATAATATTATTGAAGAACTGCTGGATATTTAAAAACAAACTGCACATATTAGCAGTAATAATATTCATTTTTTCTGTTTACAAAGTATTGCCTAACAAAATAACAAAAATATAGATGCTTTCGTGGTCGAAGAATCGAAAAAAATCATATGGGAGAGGTGAAGTCTCCATTTTCAATATGGAAAATCATATTGTAGGAAAACTACATACTACTTTTAGTCAAAAAACTGTGAACGTTTTAAAACCTAATTATCCTTCTTATTAATTTTACATATTAATCCTTTTTTTATATCCTTCTTATTTATCCTTCTCATCTTTCTTTTTATATTTCGTCCTTCTAAAGAATATTAATAATTCTTTGCTTTAATTTTATAATTTTTAATTTTATTAATTTAAAATCATCATAGTCTTTTTCATGAATTTGATAACTCTGTCTCTGCCTTAATGAAATGTTTTCACTTACTTCCAATATTACATACTTCTTAAAATGTTAGAAAATGTCTGATAATAAGTACCAAAATTCCATCACTAAGTTAAGTATAAAAATACTTTATGAATGTGCATTATTTTCTAATCTCTTATCAGACAATATTTGTAACCTACTTCCTAAGTACCAAATACCAACTTTCACTGCTCAACCTAAGAATCTTGCTTCGTTGGATGGAATTCCTGTAGCAAATACAAAACTAAGCCAGGGAAATAGAGATAAAAATGGCAGAAAAAAATGGCGACATTTTTGAATAACTGTAACTTGTGGAAAATCTGTCTAACAAGTGGATAAAGTGCGCGAAACATGTCACCAACAGGGCGAAAGCATCAGTAAATACGGGCACATGACAAAGTACTAAGCTCACTTGTGGTTCACTTTTAGGACTCGGCAACCCACCAGGCGCTGAATGATATTTTAGGTCGATGTTTGCTCCATGTTTGTTTGTTTATTTACATGTGGAAATTTTTGTATGACTCTGCAAGAGATTTTGTCATTTTTTTCACATTCATTGTTATTGGGAAAAACGTATTATCCTACAGAATACACAAATATGCTTAGGATTTGTAGAGCTGTTCAAGTGTTGACAACTATACATGCACAAGTACGGATTTGTTTTTTTTTATCTGTTAGAGTTTAATGCCGTTTTGTGCTATTTTCATGATAAATACTTAATACTTTCACAATTTAACACAATGTGTTGCCTTAATTCTAGAACTAAAAAAAAGAAATTTGTGGTATTGATAAGTAGTTGACGTGTAATAGAAGTGTTTTTTTTTTAATTATAATAATAAATAACTTGATAACAAGTACACAGATGTAAGTTTAACTATCGCTTCTATTGGAGTATAGGGCGTTAACGTTTATTTCCCTCCAGCGCGTTCGATCGTGTACCATGCGTTCAATTTCTCGCCAGGTGCTCAAGCTTCTACTTTTGCATGTATCGAGCGGTATTTAAGTTGTTGTGGGACTTCCTTTTCTTCGAGTAATTAACTTTTTCATGTCCTCAATAGATACCTCAGAGTTGTGGATTTTGACCATTAGGGAAATTGCATTTGTTGCGCTGATTCTCATTATCTTAGTTTTATTGAAATTCATCTTGAGGCCGACTGCAGCTGTACTCCTGACCAGGACTAGTTTTCGTATTTTGGCTTGTAGTGTATGTATAGCAAAACAGATGTTTGCGTAGTATAAGTCACAGAGTTTTTCGTGTCATCACCAATGAATTCCTTGTGGACCTTCATTGTTTGTTATGATTATTACTTTATCTAGTACTGTGATGAAAAAGATAGTACACAGCCTTGACGGACGCAGTTCTTGGCATTAGTGTATAATTTCCCTTTTAGGCTTTTTCCCCTTTGCCTTTTCTTTTCTTTGAGCGGTTAAAACACCCGCTCAAAATCAATAAAAAGTAAATAAAATGAAGATTGCTATTCTACAGATTATTTATTATTATTATTTCCATACTTCATTAAGGAGCTTAAAGAGTATACAAAAGCTATCTACTGCTTTCTATTTTGTGCTATTGCTCTCAACTCGTTAAACGATTTGCCAGTCTCCTACTGAACTGTTCTTCTGGTTCACCTTTGCAGCATAAGCACAATCCTCATAACCCTTACGCAGTGTATGTCCAGATTCTACAGATTGGTCTGTCATTATTCGTAGAGTATTTATATGGTATACGCAAAAGCGGACCATTCGAAAACCGTTTTGTTTTCGTCTTAAAAATTGAAGTGTTAAATTTTTACAACTTGTCAAAAATAATTTAATATTATTAAATTTAATAATAAATATTTTTTTCTTTTCAGGGGGATGGGACCCAAAAAATGCGCTACAGCCGCTGAGCGACAGCATCGACCAAGTACAACAACACAAATTGCTAAAAAACGTCCTGGGAGTGCATCAAACTCTCCAGCATCAAGAAAAATAACAGCTACGCCTAAGAAGAATATCGGTCGTACACCTTCCCCAAAAAAAGGTCAACAACAATTGCAATTGAATAAGGAAAAAAGTAAATCTGATAAGGAATTAGAGGAAAAGCGAGGTACACGCACACCTTCAAGAGAAAAGTTGAAAAAAGTTACACAAAGCGTCGACGAGTCTTCAAAGCCGGTAATTGCAAGTTCTTCAGGCACTAACTCTAAAACTAAAGCTGATACAAAACAACCAGAAACAAAAAATGAAAAAAAGAAGGCAATTAGTAAAATGCTTAAAAGTCTTGATATCAAAATAAGTGGTTTCGATAATTTACTGCCGAAAGAGGAACGTATGAGTGATGGTCTAAAGTCATCCATTTCGGAAAATGTTAAGACTAAATCTCGAGCAGCTGCAGTTAAAGTTATAACAGGTTTAAGTCCTTTAAAGTTACATGAGAAGAAAGTGCGAGAAAAATTAAAAAAAATTCATAAGGTTTCACTAAAAGAAAAAACTAAAACTAAAACTAATATGAATACTCAAAAAGAATCTCAAGAAACTAAAAATTCTAAATCTGCCGAATCCAGTAAAAAAGAATCTCCAATGTCGGCTAATACGGCAGATACGAAAAAGAAGTTGGGTGCGAAGAATATGAAAACAAATAAATTAGAACAGGTCAAGAAGGCTGTTAGCAAAACAGAAGAAAGTCTAAACTTCAAGAAAGTATTGGATAAAAAATCAAATGTAACAAGAGAACTAAATGATCCAAAAAAGAAAGTCACTAAAGTAGCAACAAAAATTAATAAAAAGATTGATGAAACTAAATCGCAGAAGGAAGAACAGAAAGCTGAAAATTTAAGTCTAAAAGTAGAGGATAAATCATTAGCAAAAGCTGATGAAAAAGAAGATAAGTCTTCATCAAAAAGTGTTGATGTGGCGAAAACTAGTAATGAAAATAAGGAGAAATCTGACAACCATGCTAACAAAACTAAAACATTAGAAATGTCTCCTAAGAAGGGAGCATCGCCGAAAATTCTAAGTCCAAAGAATATAGGGAAGTGCAATATAAATAGCAAAGATATGGAAAAGGAAGAGGTATTAAGCATTGTGTTAGATTCAAACACAGAAGTGGTGCGTATGGATATTGAAGAGTTTCCAGAAAGGCTAGAAACAAAAAGCTTGTCAAAGCAAGTAGAACAGTGCAATGATAGTTCAGCAGAAAACACTAGTAGCGAAATTAAGGAAAAAGAAAAGTGCTCAGATAAAGGCAATACTACTACATCAGATAAAGATGGAAAAAAGAAGATGTGTCAATTCGATGATGAAAAACTTAGTAATAATAAAACTGAAACACGCATTAAGAAAAATGCAGATACTGATGATACAGCAAAAGTTGAGGGAGTTTCTAAAGTTGAAGAGACAGCTAGTACTATAAGTAAAACTGAATCCGCTTCATGCGAAAATAATCCTGAGAACAAAGATAAAACCCCAACTATTAAGAATAGATTTCAACATAAATTTAAAACTGATCACATAAACAAAATGAAAATATTGAAAACATTAAAAAAATCTAAAACAAATAATGAAACAGTACAAAAAATAGAAAATAAAGTAAAAAGTGAAACAAAAAGTGGAGAACTGAAAGATGTCTATGATTTCAATTCAGGTTCTGAAGAGGAAGATAATATAAAAATGGAATTACCTATTCTAAAAGATCTAAGAGACTTTTCTGATGATGATAATAAACCACTTAAAATGCATCTCAAGGAAGAAGTAACTAAAGCAGCTAAAACAGATAACACAAACAAAGATACATCCAGTATAAAAAATAAATCTGATACCAGTGAACTAAAAGATGAAATTGAAAGTTCAAAACCTAATAACAAGTCCCTAGAAACCGAAAAAAAGACTACTGAAACTAAAAAATCAAGTTTAAATCCTAAAACTAAAATTGTTCCAAAAAAATTGGAGCAAAAAATGAAAACAGTCACTAAAAAATCTGTGATTTCCGTAAAGAAAAAATCTGCTGTTATGAATAAGAAAGCTATTAAAAAAATTGGTAAAGGAGCAAAAAAAGCGATTTTAATAAAAAGTGCTTCCTCTGCACAAAGCAGTGACTCCGAAGATGAGAAGAAATTAATAACCTTTGGGCAAAAACGTCATCGTATGGCTTCCCTAAATGCTTTAGCTAAAGTACAATGCTTATATGAAAATGAATCTCGTACAGCTTATGAACTAGGTCTATCGAAAGCCACACAGTTGCCTCCAAAAATACGCACAGTTGATGGTACTGATGACGAAAAGGAAAAGGAAAAAGAGAAAGAAAAAGATAAGGATAAAGATAAAGAAAAAATTAAAGAAAAAGAAAAAGAAAAGGAGAAAGAGAAGGATAAATCAAAAGATAAACAAAAAGATAAGGAAAAGGAGAAACTTAAAGAGAAAGAGAAAGAAAAAATAAAAACAAAAACTGATGAAAAGTCAAAGAAGGATAATAAAACTGAACAGCCAACTAAGTCAAAACAAAATGAAAAAGAATCTGAAGATGAACCCGAAGTGGAACCGAAGCGTGCAATACGTACTGTAGCAGGCGGTCGTGGATTCGGTAAGCATTGGGAGTTTGATAGTGACAGTGAAAATGATGAATTTGAACGAATTAAATTAAAGAAAAAAAAATTGCAAAAGAAAGCACAAATTAAGAAAGAAATTGAAAAGGAGAAGAATATACAAAAAGAAAAAGAACAAAAAACTCAAGAAACGGACGATAACAAAGATAAAAAGGAAAAGGAGACAAAAAAAGAAACTATACGAGTTAAACGTAAATATACAAAAATTAAGAAACCCCTCAAGAAAATGATTAAATTACAAACAGGTACTTCCGACGATGGTAATTCCGAATCCAGTGAACATGAGCACAATACAAAGGAAAAAGAAAAAGATAAGGAGAAAGATAAGGATAAGGATAAGGATAAAAATAAAGAAGTTGAAAAAGATAAAATTAAACAAAATAAAAATAAAGTAGAAATAAAAAAACCGCCTAAAAAGAGAAAGCGTATTTTTAAAGAAGATCTCATAGGGGACTATAAAGGAATTCTAGCACGTAAGCGTATGGCTAGTTTAAATGCGAGTGCAATTGTTGCTGCCACATATGAAGTGGAGCGACATCTTGATAAAAATTTAGCCTATTGCAGCAGCTATGAGAGTTACGATGAAACTGATAAAACTACACATGCTAAAAAAACAAAAGAGACTGCAAAAGAAACTAAAAAGGCTTCCACTGCCATTGATGTCGGTACAAAAGATAGTGCTTCCGATTCAGTTAAGGATTTGAAGACTCATAATATAAATGAAGAAAGTAATGATTCAAAATATTCAAAGGAAACCAAAGAAACTAATACAGATACTACAACAACAGCTGGTTTTCGTGATTCTAGCAGCACAAAAGATGGCAAGGAATCTAGTCGTCCTACATCTTCGAGTGTGGTTATTGTGCAGGATACGGATGTTACCATAACGGGTGTTTATGTCAATTCTACGACTGGCTCAAGTCAAGAATCCTACTGCAAAATGCAATATAGAGTGCAATCTAGTGTTACTGAAGAACGTGTGCTTAGACCCAGTTCAGTTGAACCACCAAAATCATATACGCCATTAAGTGCGCTATCGAGTATGTTGCCGCCGGGTGCTAGTACTGGAAGCTCTCTCGGTGATGGTAAGTTAATATTATATTCTCGTTTTTTATCATATTGGATGTATTAAAGTGAATGCAAAGTATAAAGATGAGGGATATTAAATAAGTTGTCGATACTTTAATGAATAAACTATTGTGCACACCTTTGTATTTAGAATTTTAAATATCGAGGAAACGAACCAGCTCTTTCGGAGGAAGCTTTTGAAGGTCTGCATCCTTTAGTTGGTATGTAACTAGAATTGTGTGTCTCCTGTGACTTAGTGCTTCACAGTTTGTGATCAGATGTTCTTCGTCACAGCAGAATCTGCAAATACTTGTGCTGGATATACTTTTTTGTGTAGGTGTTTATTGCATGTGGAGTGGCCTGTAAGTGCACCAGATATTTACTTTTGACCTTTCTTGTTTATATTGAGTATGATGTTTGCTCTTTTGGCGTCAAAATTTAAAAATTTTTTGGAGTGATTTAGGTGATTTACGTTTTTTGTTGGATCCATTTGTTGGTCATATGATTTAAGTTCTTTTTATTGAAACCCAAAAAGTAGGTTGGACCGATAAATGGTTCTTCTGTCCGTTTTTTGGTTTAAAGGTCCGCCTTTTCATTGCCTTAGTTCCTTCATATCTGGACACCCAAAGCAGATAGATCTGGTTGTATATGGCCAGCTGATTGAGTACATTGCCACACTATATAAGCACTATTGATGTGAATGTGTGGCTTTTCAGGGCTTTGATGTTAGTAAAAGACAAGAAAAAAATTCTTTGGTTGGCCATAACTTCTTTTCTCAAAAATTTTTTGGCTTTCAAAAATCATGTTACCTAGTCCTAAAAATAAAAGTCCTTGCATAATTTAGAGGTAACGACAACTTAACTAATATCAAAAAAATATGTGTTTTTATTTAATTATACATACATTAGATGTATAAGTAGTAGTATAAGTAGTTATAAGTAGTTAATGCTAAGCAACGACAACTTAATTAATACCAAAAAATATGTGCTTTTTAATTTTATTATACATTAACTAAATGTTTTTTTTTCTATGGTTTTATTTCAGCTCATACATCACCTCCACCACCACCAACGGTCAGCGCCGGTGCTTTAAATGATCCAATTAGTGCAAGTATTTATCATGCTACCGAATTAGGCATACATACTGAGCACGCTCCACCTGACCATGGTGCTCCACCACCATCGTATGCAGCAGCTGTATATCATGCACATCACATGGCTCCAACAGCAGCCGGTTTGCATCATCACCAATACGCACATTCGCATACGCATCAATATCAACAGGCTAATGAACATGCTCTACATGGTCATGGACCACCTCCACCGCCACCACATCACTATCAGGCGCCACCACATTATCCACCACAACAGCCCCAACAAACAGGGCCTTCAACGCAACAAACCGCACCACATTCAACACTTTCCATGACAGCCGGCAGTGGCACAAGTGCATTCTGTGCACCTAACATACATCATCAACAGCAACAACAACAATCACTAACTGCAACACAGCAAAATCAACAAACGCAACAGCAACATGACTCAAGTGGTGAGTAATAACATTTATTGTTTATTATTAAGTATTAATGGATATTTTCCTTGTGCTGTCACTCATTGGGTGTTTCTGATTTAATGAGTGCATCTATCAGCGGTTGTGAAATATCCCCACAAACACATAAATACCTACAACCTGTGTGAATCCGTTTATTTAATATTACGCAAACCCCAACATAATTGTTATGAACAACGGACAATATTGTTTCGAACACAGCAAAGTTAACAGCAACAGCAATAGCAGCAGCAACATCGACATTTGTGTAAACGTTGTGCTTTATAATTGAAATGTCGACACTAAAATAACAACGACTACGAGTATACACTCTGTTCGCATCTCCCTTGCCCCCAAAACTTGTTGGCATATGCTCCAATTTTAATACTCTTAGGGGACATTGCCAACAATAACACCAACTACAACTACAACAACAATAGCAATAACAACTACAAAAACAACAGTAATAGTAAGAACAATATTATATATGCAAGCCAACATGAACATTTCAAAAGGCTCATGGCTCATGGCTGTTGGTTAGGTCCTTTTTGCTTTATTTTGTTGGTTTGTTGAATTTAATCGTTCACTTCATCAGGTTGCCTCATGTTTAATATTTAATTGGAATTTCAAGTTAAATTGTGCAGTCGTTGTGCCCTATTACTGTCACACTACTACACTACTACACTACTACACTACTATGCCGTCGTACCCCTTCTTTTTAATCCTGATTCCTCCTGTATGCGGAGCAACTGTGGTCGTTGTCATTTGGCCTCAAATTTATGGTAATTTATGGTTGCATGCGATTTTGTAAAATTGTAGTATTAAGGTGACCCTGACTGCAACTTTGGTTAGCTAAGGGTGCAATTCATTTTGTATTAGCATAAGCACTAATTTGGGAGTTTTACTGGATTATTTACGACCTAACCAAGTTGTTCCAAATAATAAAAAAGTAAGAGTTAATAAAATCTCAGCTGAAAGTCGACACAAAAATATATAATCGTAGATCAATATAGTTTTTTAAAGAATTATTTCGATAATATAAACGTTTGAATATTATCATAGTAGGACTTACTATGTTTGCAATATGTCTCCTCTCTTTTATCAAGTTATCTTCAATAGAATTTGCTGTTTAAGTGTATATTTTTAATATTTCTTGCGTTAAGGTGCCCATATATGACAATTTAAAAGATCAGAAATCAATTTAAAATTGACGAGTTTAGAGGTTTCGAAAAATAGTGCACTACAACAACAAAAAATGTTAATGTTGATTTTTTTTGCCAAGAGTGACGCGTCTTTTGACGAAAAGAAACTATTTAAAAGTTAGACGGATTCGAATAGCAATCCTTTGTTTGCTATTCGACAATCCTATAATCCTATACAATCCTGGTGCTTGCAGTCCAAAGAAATTATATACGGAGTATAAACTAATTCAGAAATTCGAATATTTCCTAAGACTACTGATGATGAATACTTGGCAATAATCGAAACAGCGTTTTATGGTCAGCAGAATTTCAATAAATTAAATAAATTTTTGTCCTTGTCTTTTTTTTGTTGTTCGAATCCGTCTAACAAAAATTCTTTTTATATTTATTATGTTGAGGCTAGTTGAGTAAGTGCACCTGAGCACTTTTATTCTCTATTAACTGCGAGTTTTCTTCAAAACCCCTCTTTGCGCCTTGACTGAATTATTGTTTATCACTTCATCAGACTAACCAATAATTGACCTCAGATCTGCATAACTCCCCGGGGAGCCTGTAACCATTCTGAGATTTGATAACGCGGTGTTAGTAAGTCTGTCAGACCATAGATCTATTTCGAGTATTGCCAAATACTCTTCATCAATGAAGAATTTATAAATCAATAAAGTTTGTTTAAGCGAAGTTAGAAATAGTACTGGACAGTTTAGTTGATTCAATTGTTTGTAAGTTCCGAATGAATAATTTCAATTATTTATTTATAATAAATTTTGATTCGCCCAGTAGTAACATATGGCTGCGACACATGAACATGAACTGAAACTGAAGCAAGCAAGATTTTTGAAAGGAAAATACTTAGAATAATTTTTGGCCCCGTGAAAGAAAACGGGATGTATCGCATAAGATATAAACACAAGCTAGAACGGCTAGCTGAAGATGATACAATCAACAAATTTATGAAAAAACAGTGATTAAGATGGGTTGGACATGTGATAATAATGCCGGATATGAGAGTATCGTCACGGATGATGATGATGATTTGTTTATAATCTGCATATAACTTTATATAAAAACCCCTTAATATATATTTATGGGTGGAATATACTTTAATATACTTTAATAGCATCGTCAGACACTACGCCTAAAGATCTAAACAGTTTCAGGTCCATGTTGTGCAGAAAGTCATGGACACGTCAAAATGGTCGCTTTTTGGTCATAACCAAAATGGATGTTGTGTAGAGAGCCTTATCAGTATTATCAATTTTGTATTTTTACTACTACTTTTGTACTTTTTGGTTGTGCCTAAAGTCTTGTTAGAGTGAACAAATTTATACAAAGCCTAGTCACCATGACCAAATCTAAACCAACATTTTTTATTTTCTTTTACTTTTAGTGAAAAAAATTCTTGTATACATATGGTATTTGATTTGTAAAGTCTAGTAATAACATCCATTTCGCATAAAACTTCTTAAAAAGGTGTTCTACAAAATTTTGACACTGTGGAAAACTTTTTTATGGGTATTTATGTTATCTTTTCATGCAAAATTAATGTGAGTACTAGGCTTAATATAAATAAAATAGTAGGATAATATCTTATTAATATTATCAAGTGGCTTTAGTACTACCACTTAAGTGTATGATATATTTTTCTTTCGAAATTCCTAAACACTGTAAATTTGTTTTAGTTGACTTATGTACCTTCTTTAATCTTTTTGAACTATTAAATTATTTAAACTTATAAATCTATATTAAAACAATATTACTTGTAAAAAAAAAATTGAAAAAATCCTTGTTAGAAACTTGTAAGAAACACATTCAATCTTGCAACAATTTTATATTCAACTTAAAAACTTTTTAAAACTTCTTTAAAAACTCGATTATAGCTGCTTTTATTCCTTAATATTGAAAAGTTTTATTCAAGCCAATTATTAACTTAGAGATACAAAAACTTTACGTATTATAATCGAATGCTTCATCGAAGTAAAATTGAAAACTTGCACATTTTAATTATATGACTGACGTCCATTGTGCAGATAATCATTTTAGCACGTATTAAAACGATTCCAGACAGGATGCGTGAACTCCATAAATAGTTTTATAGAAAAAGGTGGATTAGAAAACTTGACTTCGTCGGACTATTCGAGAAAATGACATTTAGTAATAATAACTTTTTTTTGCTAATTGCTTAGTATATCAGGAATATTAAATAAATATATTTCATACGAAATTGAAACATTTAAAACAATGAAACTTAATTTAGTATTTATGTTTTGATAAATTCGTTTGTAGTTTATTTCCTATTTTAGAATTTTACTTAATTAAAAAAGTCGGCTCCTCAACACCTGCAATGTGTCATCGTTGCCTAGGCGGGACTACATACCTCAATATGCCACAATTGCGCTTTGTTGTTCATTTGTATGCAGCGACGATATTAGCTATTCAATAAAGATCCCACAGAGCTGCTAAACAAAATGACTGTTCAATATGGCGTCGCAAGTGTTGCCAACTTAACGATTTTTTTTTGTGTTTTATTTTTGTTTAGGTGTTGAGGTGAGAGTTTGTTGAGGAACAAAGTTTGTCGTTTAGTATTTCACGTTGAAGTTTAATTCTTAATTAAAATTTGTTTTGCTCTTAGTTTCGCTTGGTTTTAGTTTTGTGCTGCGATATTGAGTTTTGAAATAATTCCCAATGTTTCATTTACGAAAAGTTTATGGATATTCGAGTAAATAAATATTGTTACATATAAATATATATTTATGGTATTTTAAATTCAATATTAATATACATTTTGCAGTCGAAAGCCATTGAAAAATTATTGTTTCAGAATTGAATTACAGGTATGTTACTTTCATGAAATAAGTTTGTGTTAAAGTTAAAAATAACTCTTCTTCCATTAATAATGATGGTTATGGTTATAGGATAACCAATAAACAATAACTTTTTGACAGAATTCGACCTTATCCATCAACATAATTTGATAAACACAGGCAGATACAAAGACATCAGATCCATCATATTATAAAGCCCCGTAAAGCCCCGTATTTAGTGTGACTTAAAATTGTCCACAGATAAAATAGAGTAAAGGTGCTGATTCACCAACTCAGACATCTGAATATCAATCAATAATAATTCTTTAAAAATAATACTTCTCTAAAATTTCGTTACCTCTCTTGTCTTAAAATATGTCTCAATTTCGACGATTGGTTTTTCATCTGAGACAAATCTTTGGTCTTAAAATATGCCTCAATTTCGAGAATTGGTTTTTCATCTGAGACAAAGGTTTGGTCTTAAAATAAGCCTCTATTTCGACGTTTGGTTTTTCATCTGAGACAAATCTATTTCTCAGTAGCATTTTTTTTAAGACTACGAACAGATAATAATGGATTGGAGCCAAATCTTCCGAATACAAAGGGTGTGAAAGCAATTTAAAGTGAAATTCTTGGAATTTGGTCATTGTCTTGTAGTTACAGTTGGTCATTGTAGTTACAGACTTTATACCTATTGTATAGGTTAAAATGAAACAGTTGGGCTAAAATCTCAAATTTTTTAAATTTTTACAACCAAATTTAAATGGGTTTGACATATGTGACACAACTAGACACTGCAAAAGTATTCCCTTTACTTATTGGTAAGAGAATATTTCATTTATCAGAATCTTAACATTCATTTAATAAAAAAAATTGGTTAATTTAGTACAAAATACGTAGAAAGTATAATTACGCGTTCCAATGAACTTATTGTAAATCCTATGGACAATATCCGCTCAACAGAGTTGATATAGTTGTAGATTTTATGTCTTCTATA